AATGATGATTGATAATCCTTTTTGTATTAGGAGTGTCATGTCAATGGTGTATAGTGTATATAGCTCTAGCCTTTAGTTCAACGAGTAGAAACGTCATAAGTTTTATCGAAGGAACCACACTTTAAGTCTGATTAGTTTGCAATATGAACACAAGATGATAACCATTCTCAACCTTACATTTTCATTGGCATCAAATTTAGGTCAGGTTTAGAATATAGATTAATAAATGAGTAGGCCAAGAGACTGCTCGCAATTAGCTGTGTGGAAAGCTAAACGATGTCTCCTACCGTCCACGTCAGCGTCTTAAATCCTCAAATCCCATTGGCAACAAAAAAAAACATTGTGTATATAAATACATGTACACTTATCACTCTCTACTCACTTTTAAAACAAACTCATAGGTAAAAAACAGACATTTTTAAAACATAAAAAGTCCCATGGCTAAGATATGTTCCCCTTCTTTTCCCGATACTCCCTTTCTTTACATTTTCACTCTCTTTACACTAATGTTCATTCGGATTTCCGCTCGGCCCGCGACATTCGTCGATGATTTCAAAGCGGCCTGGTCGGAATCTCACATCCGTCAAATGGACGGTGGAAAAGCTATCCAGCTCGTCCTTGATCAGAGCACTGGTACACCAACACCACATATATCCCTTGGATGAAATGGAAACATTTAAAAATTAATGGTGTTTTATGTAATATACTCTCACATGTTCATATATATTTGTCTTTTAAAGGATGTGGATTTGCTTCCAAAAGAAAGTATCTATTCGGACGAGTGAGCATGAAGATCAAACTCATTCCAGGAGACTCTGCCGGTACGGTCACCGCTTTCTACGTAAGTCTATCATTTTACTCCACTAGTTTTTAAAATGTACACATTCACACACTAAAAAATAACATTTTCTTGAAACATTTAACGGTCGAATCATTGATATGTTTACAGATGAACTCCGATACGGCCACGGTGAGAGACGAGCTAGATTTCGAGTTCTTGGGAAACAGAAGTGGTCAACCTTACTCAGTGCAAACTAACATATTTGCTCATGGCAAAGGAGATAGAGAACAAAGAGTTAATCTTTGGTTCGACCCATCTTTGGATTACCACACTTACACTATCTTATGGTCACACAAACACATTGTGTAAGCTTCTCTCTTTATACTTTCGAATAAAAGTTACTGTTTAATCTTTTTTCACCATTTACTGTTTGGAAAAACCTCAATTTAACGTGGGTTTGTTTTGGTTACTTAGTTTTTACGTAGACGATGTGCCAATAAGAGAATACAAAAACAACGAAGCCAAGAACATTGCTTACCCAACATCACAACCTATGGGAGTTTACTCAACATTATGGGAAGCCGATGACTGGGCGACACGTGGCGGATTAGAGAAAATTGATTGGAGCAAAGCTCCGTTTTATGCTTATTACAAAGATTTCGACATCGAAGGTTGTCCTGTTCCCGGACCAACCTTTTGTCCATCGAACCCTCACAATTGGTGGGAGGGTTATGCCTATCAGTCTCTTAACGCCCTCGAAGCTCGACGTTACCGGTGGGTTAGAGTAAACCATATGGTTTATGATTATTGTACCGACCGGTCTAGGTTTCCTGTCCCACCACCGGAGTGTCGTGCTTGAAAATAATTCCATATATACGTACGTTACAATGATCATGTTTCGTCTTGTACGATATTTTATATATATATTAATTGTGGGAAAATGTGGATTGTATTGTCCTCTTATGCAAATGTGCAGACGTACGTGAGTGTTACGTAGTGTGTATAGATATATAGATATAATTGTGATTTGTGGTTATTTGAAAATTTATAAACATAAATGAATTTTGTGAAAACAGGTTAATATGTGACTCTGACCTTATGGCATTGATTGTTTCGAGCACATAACTTTTCTTTCTCTACCAAACAAATTCTGAATCTAAACTCGTAACCTTGAGACACATTTTCTTTAGAAGATCACTAGTACACGCGTAGAGTTGTTGGATTACATGCAAATTTCAAATTGTGAACAAAATATTTGCTTAACCACTCAAATTTTGTAATCTTAATAAAAACTAACCATAAAAACACACAAAATTTAAAACGTACGTATAGATGTTACAAGGATTCGTTGCACGAAGAGGATATTATTGGTTTGGCTATATGGTCCCATTGCCAACAAAGGCGTCAGATTTGCATTAAACCTTAGAAGGAAAATGTCTTATCAAGCTCAGAACTTGTTGAAATAATGTGGAACTCACTAAGAAATGCCAAGAAAACTTGAAATCAATGGGCATTGATGTTATATCTAATTTTTCAGCTTTGAAATCGAACTAGTCTCATTTAGTTTTGCCCTGATAAGTATTTTTTCCTTTTCACATTATTTTATGTTCTTGTTGAATGAAATACTATGATACTAATCAGAAATACTTCCAAGATGACATGATATAGTAAATTTACTAAAAGTCACACATACTCACAAATCCAAATGAAATTTTGTTTTTATAGTAAAATCTGTCCTAAAATTTGCAACCCAAAAAGATTCACCTTAATTCATAACTCCATATTTCTTCAATATTCAACTTTGTGGGTTTGATTGGTTCAATATTCAATAAGCAAAGTAGTTTTTTTGCTTAGTAAATTTTTGTTTAAATTAGAAGACTTTTGAGGTCTTAAGCATAGATTGATTTAGCCACCGACAGTACTACTACAGCTGGAGAGAAAGGATTCAAATAATAGCATTCAAATACTCTTTTTCAAAATTACCAAGTAAAAGAGTTATTATTGCTTGAAACTCCACATTGATGGTGATTGATAGATCAGCTTTGGGATTGAGTGGCCACAAAGGAAAAAAGAAGGTACATTCACCTTTCTTATTTGAAAGCTACATGGGTCTTATCTTAAACGTACAGAAGAAAAATAGTAAAAAGGAACTTTTGTCCTCACTTACTACTACTCATCACTGTACTAACTCTTCTCTTTGTATCATGTTTCATTAGAACTTTCAGAATCAGCTAATTAGCAAGTTTGGCTTCAAATGGTTGTTGATTTTGACTGCCACTGGGTCTGAACAATAAGGACAGTTCCCAAACAGAACATCAAATGACCTGCAAGAAATTGGATCATAGTTGAGCTTTAGAGCATAAGGATTACGTGTGTGTGTTTGGATATGAGAGAGTGAGAGATTAAGGTTTTCACTTACTGTCTTGTTGTTGTGATAGACCTTAACCAGTCTGTGAGGCAAAGGCTATGGAAAGACTTGTTGCAACTGATGTTTTCACATGTGTAATCTGTTTGCGTCCCACTTCTAGCTCCGAGCTCCTCATCTTAGTTTAAAGTAAATGAGAAGTTAGTGAACCATCAGCAAGGTACTATTCTGAAGCATTGCTTTTTTTCGGTTTGAGAAATCACCGGTGGGTAGAAACTGCGCATAGCAAATTCCACATTCAACTTGTTGTTGATTTTCTTCCTCTTGGAGACCTAAAGGCTTTGGAAGCTCAGTACCTAGAATACATTCGAGGTTTTCAGGAAATGGTCTTTCCTTTGACCTGTATTATTATCATTAATCGTGATTCCTGATTTCAACAGTCCATAAAACCTCACTATTTCTTATTAACTCCATGCTATATAACCTATCGAAAGAGATTTACAATGGGAGAGTAGAGACAAAAGAATATTACCATTTTTTGCTATTTCTTCTCCATAACATATGTAAGCTGTTCATATGCGTAGCTGGAGGCACAGGACCAATAAACCGGCATCTGTCTAAGAAATTCACTATTAAAAAACTGCCGAAACAGATGTTATTGTGAGTGTGTGAGTAGTGTAGAAACATACTCTGGTAGGGATTTAGGGTCTTTGAAGTCGATATGAACAATGAGGATGCAATCATTTCCTGAGAAAAAATGAACCAATTAGTAGATAGATAAAAAGTGAATCTCGTCAAGACAGAAAATAAAAGAGTATCCAGACAAATGGAATAGAGATAAAGGTAATAAACCAGCATGAATCCGGCGGATAGCGGAGGCGCGAGATGGTTGTTTGGCATCAACAATACAGAGAGATTTGTCGATATCGTCCAAGACAGACCAAAATTCTTGAAGATAGTCCAAATGCTGTTAACAAAAAAAAGAAGCTGATTATGTGTGTTAGCTGATTAAAGAGAGAATGTAGCAAGTCGTATAATCTAATATACCTTTTGGAATTGGTACATCAAATCCTTCAATCTTGAACTTGTTGACCATTCTAAAGTAAACATATATGGCACATCCTACATCGAGCAAAAGTTAACCGGGCAATTCGGAAAATCCGCTATGGAGAACGGAAAAAGTTTAAGGATTTGACAAAACAAACCGCAGAAACAGAAGGTGGTGAATTAGGATAGTCTCTGTTCAGTTGAAATTCTAAGTTATGTGCCCTTCCCTTCTTATCGCTGTACATGATCATGATGATAATAATGTTCAGATCACAAAACTACCATGTCACATGAATATTGAGATACATATAATGCAATGTACTAATCACATTATCCATTAGCCAAAGATTTTGAAGCGAAACCCTAAAAATTGTGGAACTTACAAAATCTGAAAGCTGAAAAACGTTAAATCTCCACCTAATCTCCTTAGCGGTTCCCATCCAATTTCCTCTATCTAACAAACCAATACAAAAAAATTCGTTCAGAGCAATCAATTTTAAGAAAAAAAAGGAAGAGATCGATGATTAACCAAACCTCCGAGTAAACTTTCCGGTAAAACGAAGAAGACTTTGCTAATTCCTCGCATCTTTCACGTCCTATACATTCTCCAGAACCCTTCATCATCTACGCAGATTCAACGCAGATCATCTTCAACCTCTGGAAACTTCTGCATTTTTTTGGTTCGTGTTGACTGTTGAGTGAAGAAGAATTTGAGTGTTACGTTTTGGGCCTGAAAGCCCAATATTTGATGATTCTTATTAAGGCCCATTTAATAAGCCCATTTCAGGCCCATTATTTCAAGGCGGTGCACTTTCTTACTTTTCCTTCTCTCTTTCTCTGTCTCCTAGAAGCTACTTCACTGGGATCGTCTTCATCATTGATCCAGGTTCGTCTTCTTCGTATGTTTTAATTTCTCTACTTTTTTTTTTGTTATTTTGATTTTCTCTGATGGAAATTCTCCGAAATGAAAGTTGTTGAGCTAAAATATTTGGGAATTCTGAAATTTTTTCGATGATCTGAATGATGTCAGATCGCTGAGAAATTATTTGATTTATGGGTTATAATCGTTTTCAGATTTGTATGTTTTGTGTCCTTGCATGAGATAATAACTAAGTCGTTACTTGTTTAGCCATTTTTGAGTACTTATCTACTTTCTTTTTTTGTTGTTGAGTATTTTATTCTGTTGTTTAATGATATCATTTTCAGGTTCAGAGAAAAAAAAATTCGAGATTCTGGGATTGTATGATTTGTTGTTGGCTGATAGATTACTTAAGCTATGGTTTGGTTTAGAACTGGTTCTTCTGTGGCAAAGCTTGCCATAAGAAGGACACTGTCTCAGTCTCAGTGTTGTTCATTTGCCACTAGAACAAGGGTTTTGCCTTCTCAAACCCGATGTTTTCACTCTACAATACTCAAATCAAAGGCAGAGTCTGCTGCTCCTGTTCCACGTCCTGTCCCACTTTCCAAGCTAACTGATAGCTTCTTAGATGGAACAAGCAGTGTGTATCTCGAGGAGCTACAAAGAGCTTGGGAGGCTGATCCCAACAGTGTTGATGAGTCGTGGGATAACTTTTTTAGGAACTTTGTCGGTCAGGCTGCTACATCTCCTGGTATCTCGGGGCAAACCATTCAAGAAAGCATGCGTTTGTTGTTACTTGTTAGAGCTTATCAGGTTAATGGACACATGAAGGCCAAGCTTGACCCTTTGGGTCTAGAGAAGAGAGAGATTCCAGAAGATCTCACGCCAGGTCTTTATGGGTTTACTGAGGCTGATCTTGATCGGGAATTCTTTCTGGGTGTATGGAGGATGTCGGGTTTTCTCTCTGAGAACCGTCCGGTTCAAACACTGAGGGCTATACTGTCGAGGCTTGAGCAGGCTTACTGTGGGACTATAGGGTATGAGTACATGCACATTGCTGATAGGGATAAATGTAACTGGTTGAGAGACAAGATCGAGACCCCAACACCTCGACAGTACAATAGTGAGCGTCGGATGGTTATTTATGATAGGCTTACCTGGAGCACACAGTTTGAGAATTTCTTGGCTTCTAAGTGGACCACGGCTAAAAGATTTGGACTCGAAGGTGCTGAGTCTTTGATTCCAGGCATGAAGGAGATGTTCGATAGGTCTGCAGATCTCGGGGTAGAGAACATAGTTATCGGAATGCCCCATAGGGGTCGACTTAATGTTTTGGGTAATGTTGTTAGAAAACCTCTACGTCAAATATTCAGCGAGTTTAGTGGTGGTACTAGGCCAGTAGATGAAGTTGGGCTTTACACCGGAACAGGTGATGTAAAATACCACTTGGGTACATCTTATGATCGCCCAACTAGAGGAGGCAAACATCTCCACTTGTCTTTGGTAGCAAATCCCAGTCACTTGGAAGCAGTAGATCCTGTTGTGATGGGTAAAACCAGAGCGAAACAATATTACACAAAAGACGAGAACAGAACAAAGAACATGGGTGTTTTGATCCATGGGGATGGTAGCTTTGCCGGACAAGGTGTGGTATATGAAACTCTGCATCTTAGTGCACTTCCTAACTACTGTACCGGTGGAACAGTGCACATTGTGGTCAATAATCAAGTGGCTTTCACAACCGATCCCAGGGAAGGAAGGTCTTCACAGTATTGCACTGATGTTGCAAAGGCTTTGAGTGCCCCAATTTTTCATGTCAATGCAGATGACATTGAAGCAGTAGTGCATGTTTGTGAGCTTGCTGCTGAGTGGCGCCAGACATTCCATTCTGATGTTGTTGTTGATTTAGTATGCTACCGTCGCTTTGGGCATAACGAGATAGACGAACCGTCATTCACGCAACCAAAAATGTACAAGGTCTGGCATTTAATCTAATTTTCACTTCGTTATTTCCAGGATTTCTTTTCATGTAATATTTTTTTGTTTAAAACCGGATGTTACTTGTTGTTGATAGGTGATACGCAATCATCCCTCGTCGCTTCAAATCTACCAGGAGAAGCTCTTGCAATCTGGACAGGTAACAGAAGAAGATATTGATAAGATTCAAAAGAAAGTAAGCTCTATCCTAAATGAAGAATTTAGGGCAAGTAAAGATTATATTCCACAAAAACGTGACTGGCTGGCAAGTCATTGGACTGGATTCAAGTCACCGGAGCAGATTTCTAGGATCCGAAACACTGGGTATGAAGATGTTCATTTTATTTAGTTTGTTATTGCCTTTGGCCTTTTTGTTTTTTTCCCCAATGTAACAGCTTGCCTTGTTCGCTTGCAGTGTGAAGCCAGAGATTTTGAAGAATGTGGGGAAGGCAATCTCAACCTTCCCAGAGAACTTCAAGCCACACCGAGGGGTGAAAAGAGTTTATGAACAACGTGCTCAAATGATTGAATCGGGAGAAGGCATTGACTGGGGACTTGGAGAAGCTCTTGCTTTTGCTACACTGGTTGTTGAAGGCAACCACGTTCGGCTAAGTGGTCAAGATGTTGAAAGAGGAACTTTCAGTCACAGACACTCAGTGCTTCATGATCAGGAAACTGGCGAGGAGTATTGTCCCTTAGATCACCTGACCATGAACCAAGACCCTGAAATGTTCACTGTCAGTAACAGGTATGTTTTTGTGAATCTCTGGAGATCGTAACCACTCTTCAATTGTTTTCTACATGATCTTTGCGTTGTTTGTGTATGCAGCTCTCTTTCAGAATTTGGTGTTCTCGGTTTCGAACTGGGTTATTCGATGGAAAATCCCAATTCTCTGGTGTTATGGGAAGCTCAGTTTGGAGACTTTGCTAACGGCGCACAAGTTATGTTTGATCAGTTCATAAGCAGTGGGGAAGCCAAATGGCTCCGTCAAACTGGTCTAGTAGTTCTACTTCCTCATGGATATGATGGTCAGGGTCCTGAACATTCCAGTGGAAGATTGGAACGTTTCCTTCAGGTATATTACATGACCGATACTTACCCATTAAGTTTCTCTCCACTTTTCGTATTTGTTTCCCTCTCATTTGAAGATTTTAACTGCAGATGAGTGATGACAATCCTTACGTTATCCCTGAGATGGATCCAACTCTTCGAAAGCAGATTCAAGAATGTAATTGGCAAGTTGTTAATGTTACTACACCTGCCAACTATTTCCATGTTCTGCGTCGGCAGGTAAAATTTTATCTGAAGTGTATAGAAGGTTACGACTTTATTCTTTTGCTCTTCATACACATACACACACGCTTGATATCATCCATTTGCAGATACACAGGGACTTCCGCAAGCCCCTTATAGTAATGTCTCCCAAAAACTTGCTTCGTCACAAACAGTGTGTATCTAATCTCTCGGAATTCGATGATGTTAAAGGACATCCTGGTTTTGACAAGCAAGGAACTCGATTTAAACGGTTGATCAAAGATCAAAGTGGTCACTCTGATCTTGAAGAAGGTATCAGACGTCTAGTCCTCTGCTCTGGGAAGGTAAAAAACAAAAGATCCCAATTTTTCCTAACAAAGTTCTCACATTCTGAAATTTAATACTTCAAACGTCAATGATCAGGTCTACTATGAGCTTGACGAAGAGCGAAAGAAGTCTGAAACAAACGATGTAGCCATTTGCAGAGTAGAGCAGCTTTGTCCATTCCCTTATGATCTCATCCAAAGAGAACTAAAGCGATATCCAAGTAGGTGTCGAAACTCAGGACTGTGTTTGATGGTTTTTGATTGAATATGGAACTCTCTGAAAACTTGTTCTTGTATTTCTACAGATGCAGAGATCGTGTGGTGTCAAGAAGAGCCGATGAACATGGGAGGATACCAATACATAGCACTAAGGCTTTGCACCGCGATGAAAGCACTGCAAAGAGGAAACTTCAACGACATTAAGTACGTTGGTCGTCTTCCATCAGCAGCTACAGCTACAGGATTTTACCAGCTTCATGTTAAGGAGCAGACTGATCTTGTGAAAAAAGCTCTTCAACCTGACCCCATCACCCCCGTCCTCCCTTAAATTGGACAGCTTGAGAGGCTTGAGCCTCTTATAAAGAAAGACCAACACAAAAATAAAGATTCCTGAGAGAATGAATCTTTTTGGTTACCAAATAGTGTCACTGGAAAATAAACAGATGTTTGCTAGACTTACAAATTTAAGTTTATTCGATTTGTTTGGTTTGTTGCAAAATAAAATTATAGGATTTAATCAAGATTAAAAAAAAAAAAAAAAATTATACCGTTTGGTTTAATATGATAATTTGGTTCAACTGTGGATTGATTCTGGTTCGGTTTGGTTTTATTAGTGACTGTAGTTGTGCAAGCAATCATTTTTGGTGAGAAAAAGCTTCCAAAGTTAAAGAGTTATGGCGAACCATTTTTGCTTGCTTCTGATCTTCACTTTCTTCACTCTATTGTTTCCGTCAAACGGATCGTCACTGTCTTCTTCCAAGCTTTTACCTCGTTTCCCTCGCTACACTTCCCGGAACCGAGGCAGAATCCAGCAGTTCCGGGGAGATCGAAACGAGTATCGATACGAGACTAAGTTCTTCTCTCAGCAGCTTGACCACTTCAGCTTCGCCGATCTTCCCAAATTCCCGCAACGCTACTTGATCAATTCCGATTACTGGCTTGGTGCTTCTGCGCTGGGACCTATCTTCCTATACTGCGGCAACGAAGGTGATATTGAGTGGTTTGCTACAAACTCTGGATTCATTTGGGATATCGCTCCTAAGTTCGGTGCCTTGCTTGTTTTCCCTGAGGTTCGTTCGTGTTTATTTTTCCTGTTTCAACATAGTCACGGATAAAAGAAGCAATTCGTTACTGATTTCTGGGATTTTGGTATTAGCATAGGTATGCCTTATGGAAGCATGGAAGAAGCTTACAAGAACGCTACCACTTTATCATATCTCACAACTGAACAAGCTCTTGCTGATTTTGCTGTTTTTGTCACTGATTTGAAACGCAACTTGTCTGCCGAAGCTTGCCCAGTTGTGTTGTTTGGTGGATCATATGGTGGAAGTAAGTGAGAATCATATGATTGTTTTTGTGTTAGTGGAATGCTTTTGAATGTGATTTTTGTGTGTGTTTGTTGTTGATGAAACAGTGTTAGCAGCATGGATGAGGCTCAAGTATCCTCACATTGCAATAGGAGCTTTAGCTTCCTCAGCTCCAATTCTTCAGTTTGAAGATATTGTACCTCCTGAGACGTTCTATGACATTGCATCAAATGATTTCAAGGTGTAAATGTTTTTTGCTTTGTTAGTCGATTGACTATATCTCGTCTTTCGTTTTTCAGATCGTGACCGGGTTTTTGTTTGTAGCGTGAGAGTAGCAGCTGCTTCAACACCATTAAGGACTCGTGGGATGCAATAATAGCAGAGGGTCAGAAGGAGAATGGCCTTCTGCAGCTGACGAAAACTTTTCACTTTTGTCGGTAAACGAATAAATTGGAGTTAGTGTACGCTTGTAAAGTGTATTAATTAGTAATAGCTTAATTGGTTTGTTGCTCGATTTGCAGGGTTTTGAACAGTACTGATGACCTTTCAGACTGGCTGGACTCTGCTTATAGTTATTTGGCAATGGTGGACTATCCGTATCCTGCTGACTTCATGATGCCTTTGCCTGGACATCCCATTAGAGAGGTATATTATGGGAAGTAACACTTTATGATTTTATACTGATATTGTTCAGCCAAGTTTTGAAGTCCCAATCATTCTTTGTTCAATGTTGTTTATCTTCCTTTAGGTCTGCAGAAAAATTGATGGTGCTCATAGTGATGCTAGCATCCTAGATCGCATATTTGCAGGAATAAGTGTGTACTACAACTATACTGGGAATGTTGACTGCTTCAAGTTGGATGATGACCCTCATGGTTTGGATGGATGGAATTGGCAGGTATGAAAAGATCAACTGCTTTATTTATCTTTCCCTTTTCCGATATTTTTTTAGTGAATTTACCATTATTCACTTTCACCATCCGTTTACAATAGGCATGCACGGAGATGGTAATGCCCATGTCTAGCAACCAAGAAAAGAGCATGTTTCCTGCTTATGATTTTAATTACTCTTCATACAAAGAGGAATGCTGGAATACATTCCGAGTCAATCCAAGACCCAAATGGGTCACAACAGAGTTCGGTGGACATGTAAGACATCTTTTTGATAAACTCAAGATTCTTTTTATGCTGTGTTCTGAATCTTTTACTATCTCTCTCTAATGTAAAAGGATATAGAGACCACCTTGAAGTTGTTTGGAAGTAACATCATTTTCTCAAATGGTATGTTAGATCCTTGGAGTGGTGGCAGGTAAGAATATTCTTCCCTTTACTCATATCCCAAGAGCTATTTTACAAAACGAATTTCGTAATCGCGATGAATGATTGACTCATAATATGTATGCAGTGTTCTCAAGAACTTATCCAATACCATTGTTGCTCTTGTCACAAAAGAAGGTATATATGTAAAAGCCTCATCAATCCCTCTCCTAACTGATCTGCTTTTTAATTTGCATAGACTTAAACCGTTTGATCATAATAGTAGTAGTCTACAAATTTCATGGAATTGCAAAAAAATCACAATTCGAATCGATGTGATGAATTATTTTTGGTATATCTATCTCACAACATCAGAATAATCATAATCATCATCCATTCTCTTTGAAACTCACAAACAAAGTTGATAATGGCTTTCTTCTTTCTCTTTATCAGGTGCACACCATTTGGATCTACGACCTTCAACACCAGAAGACCCGAAATGGCTTGTGGACCAGCGAGAAGCCGAGATACAGTTGATTCAAGGATGGATAGAAACTTATCGACTAGAAAAAGAAGCTAAGGTTTCTCTGTTAAAACGTTCTTGGTAAGAGAACAATGTAAGGAATCGCCTCAGTGTGTTTTCCACGAAACTTAGAATCTGCAAACTTTGTATTGTAACATATCTGCTTTGAATAAATTCATGTAAGCTCTCAATGATCACTAATCTTTTCTACTTGCTTATTTTATATTGAATACACGCAAACAAAAGAAGTACAAAATTAGATTTATGAGGCTGGCTATACACCCAAACACATCTGTCAAGTGAGAACAAAGAAGATATTAAAGAATCATACTATCTTCTAAAATCTAAATAATTAACTTTCATCTAGATTGTGGTTTTAAGTTAATGACAGAGACAGAGAGTACAAAACTTAAAATTTAATTACGATACATTCATGTCTCTTGAAAAAATCAAAAATTTAATTACCATATAATCACCTCGTTTAAACTTTAAACTAAATTGAAAATTTTGGTATTGGCCGCTAAAAACGAGGAGAAGGCTTTAAACGCCATCGTTTTGGTACTTTGACTGGTGGAATAAAAACCCTTTTGACTCAAACGTCGACCTAAAAAAAAAAAAGAGAGAGACTAGACTTCTCTACGACGGACTGTCACAGAACTCTTCTTTGTTGTGTGAGAGAGAGAGAAAAAGTGAAGAGACAAGCACCGTGCTTTTGATCGGAGATCGGAGGAATTTAGATTCGGTTCTCTGTCTTTGTGCTATTGGGAGAGACGATGGCAACTTCTCGTTCGGAGCGATTTCCGATAACGCCGACTACGGCGGCTACTAATAGATTGACGATTACGCCTAATTCTAGGGTTTTGAAAAGCCCTCTCACTGAAGAAGTCATGTGGAAAAGGCTTAAGGATGCTGGGTTTGATGAACAATCGATCAAGAAGAGGGATAAAGCCGCCTTAATCGCTTACATCGCCAAGCTGGAATCTGAGGTTTGCTTCTCGATTTTTTCGTTGAATTCCTCATTCTTTAGTGTTTTGACTAGAGTGTTATAGGCGGGAACACAATGAAACTAACTAATGAGAATGTTATAATTACTGGGATTAGCTTGTGCCCTAAAAGTTTGATTCTTCAGTTCATATGAATGTATTTAATTCGTTTTTGTGAATGCCCTTAATTGTTTCAGTCATCTCCGTTACGCTCCTGTGTCAATCCTGACAATTTATTGGATGGAGTTGGTTTACTGCAGTTATTATTGCTTTGCTTTTGAGACCTTTAAAGTTTCGATTTTGTTTCCTCTTTTAAGCTTGATTGGTTTAGATCGTTGTATTGGCTAAGCTTATCTCTTGCGTGTTTTATTAAAAAAACCTATTGGCATTTGCTATATTGATCTTAATTTTCATGTAGGTTTATGATTACCAACACAACATGGGTCTTCTCCTTTTGGAGAAAAACGAATTGCTGTCTAAGTATGAAGAGATTAAGGCCTCTGTGGATGAGTCTGACCTAACACATATGCGAGAGAAATCGGCTTATGTCTCGGCTCTAGCTGAAGCAAAGAAACGAGAAGAGAGTTTGAAGAAGGATGTAGGCGTTGCAAAAGAGTGTATATCTAGTGTAAGTTCTTAACTTTGAGAGCTAGCAAAGGCATGTTGTTTCCAGTCTGTTTATTGATTTTGTTTTGTTCTTTTTCTCTCAGCTGGAGAAGACTTTGCATGAGATGCGTGCAGAATGTGCCGAAACAAAAGTTTCTGCTGGGAGTAAAATCTCGGAAGCTCATGTTATGATTGAGGATGCTCTGAAGAAACATGCAGATGCTGAAGCAAAAATGCGTGCAGCAGAAGCTTTACAAGCAGAAGCCAACCGTTATCACCGAATTGCAGAGAGAAAGTTGAAAGAAGTTGAAAGTCGTGAAGATGATCTTACTCGGCGTCTTGCATCTTTCAAGTCTGAGTAAGTCTTTTTGTCTCGGCTAACTGGACTTTAGTACTTGTATTGTATTATGAAGGTGTGGGATGAAGTTGTTGTATTGGTTCTTTCTTTACATGGTTTAGGTCTGAAACGAAAGAGAACGAGATGGTTATTGAGCGACAGACTTTAAATGAGAGGCGGAAGAGCTTGCAGCAAGAGCAAGAAAGGTTATTGGATGCACAAGTTTCACTAAATCAAAGAGAAGATCATATTTTTGCTAGATCCCAAGAATTAGCTGAACTTGAAAAGGGGTTAGATACTGCAAAGACCACATTTGAGGAGGAACGTAAAGCCTTCGAAGACAAAAAATCCAACTTGGAGATTGCATTAGCCCTGCGTGCTAAAAGAGAAGAGGTTTGTTTGTATTCACACAAGTATCTGTTATTTTTGGTTTTGCATTATACGTCATTAAAAAAATTTCTGGGAGACAAGAATCAAGATAGTAATGTGTCATGTTTTGTTTTTCTTGCAAAAAACAGGCTGTCTCTGAAAGGGAATCTTCGCTACTTAAGAAGGAGCAAGAGCTGCTTGTTGCTGAAGAAAAAATTGCCAGCAAGGAATCTGTGAGTTTACTTGTTCAATCCGACCAACCTTGTAGTTATCATTCATACTTTTAGTTTTGTGTTCATTTGTTTGCTTGATTTAATGAAAATGCTTTTTAACTTTCAATACAGGAACTAATTCAGAACGTCTTAGCGAATCAAGAAGTTATCCTGAGGAAAAGAAAATCCGATGTGGAAGCTGAATTGGAATGTAAGAGCAAATTGGTGGAAGTTGAAATCGAGAGCAAGAGACGGGCTTGGGAATTAAGGGAGGTTGATATCAAGCAGAGGGAAGACCTAGTTGTTGAAAAAGAACATGACTTGGAAGTTCAATCAAGGGCATTGGCAGAGAAAGAAAAGGATATAACAGAGAAGTCTTATAACATTGAAGAGAAAGAGAAGAATTTGATTGCTACAGAGAAAGATATTAACCTTAAGACAACTCTGCTGGAGAGTGAGAAGGAACGGCTTAGAAAATTGGACCTGGAGCTGCAGCAGTCTTTGATGTCATTAGAAGACAAGAGAAAACTGGTTGATTCTGCAACACAAAAACTTGAAGCCTTGAAGAGTGAGACAAGCGAATTATCTACTCTGGAGATGAAACTCAAGGAGGAGTTAGATGATTTGAGGGCCCAAAAGCTTGAAATGCTGGCTGAAGCAGATAGATTGAAGGTGGAGAAGGCTAAATTTGAGGCTGAGTGGGAACACATTGATGTAAAGAGGGAAGAGTTAACAAAAGAAGCAGAGTATATAACTCGTCAAAGAGAGGCTTTTTCAATGTATCTCAAGGACGAGCGTGATAACATCAAAGAGGAAAGAGATGCATTGAGAAATCAGCACAAAAACGATGTGGAGTCGCTAAACCGAGAGCGTGAAGAATTCATGAATAAGATGGTGGAGGAACATTCTGAATGGCTTAGCAAGATACAGCGTGAGCGTGCTGACTTCTTGTTGGGCATTGAGATGCAGAAACGAGAGTTGGAGTATTGCATTGAAAATAAGCGAGAAGAATTGGAAAATTCCTCGAGGGAGAGAGAGAAGGCTTTTGAGCAAGAGAAGAAGTTGGAAGAGGAGCGTATACAGTCGCTTAAGGAAATGGCAGAGAAAGAGTTAGAACATGTCCAAGTGGAACTAAAGAGGTTGGATGCTGAGAGGTTGAAGATCAAACTGGATCGTGAAAGAAGAGAGAGGGAGTGGGCTGAGTTAAAGGATTCGGTTGAGGAGCTAAAGGTGCAACGAGAAAAACTAGAGACGCAAAGGCATATGCTTCGAGCTGAAAGAGATGAAATCCGACATGAGATTGAAGAACTGAAGAAATTAGAGAATCTGAAAGTTGCATTAGATGATATGTCCATGGCTAAAATGCAGCTGTCCAATTTAGAGCGTAGCTGGGAAAAGGTTTCTGCTTTGAAACAGAAGGTTGTATCTCGGGATGATGAACTAGATATGCAAAATGGAGTTAGCACTGTGAGTAATAGCGAAAATGGCTACAACTCTTCTATGGAAAGACAGAACGGCTTAACCCCTTCATCTGCTACTCCATTTTCATGGATAAAACGATGCACTAATCTGATATTCAAGACTTCTTCAGAGAAATCCCCCCTAATGCATCATCATGAAGAAGGAGGATCGCCTTCAGAAAAGTTGAAGCTAGAATCGTCGAAAAGAGAAGAAAAAGCTTACACTGAGGGGCTGTCTATTACGGTTGAAAGACTTGAAGCAGGAAGGAAAAGAAGAGGTAACACATCTGGAGATGACACTAGCGAACCAAGCAATAACAAAAAGAGGAAACATGATGTTACCCAAAAATATTCTGATGAAGCTGATACCCAGAGGTAAAATCTGATCATTCAATAGCAAATTTTACACATTTGTTTTATATTGTTTTACTGTTATCAAAACTGAATCTTGCATCTTATTTTTCTCAGTGTCATATCAAGCCCTCAAAACGTGCCTGAGGACAAACATGAACTACCATCAAGCCATACCCAGACACCAAGTGGTATGGTAGTGATCAGTGAAACCGTTAAGATCACGACAGTAACGTGTGAGACAGAGGTCACCAACAAAGTCACAACCCTTGAGTGCTCAGAAAGTCCTTCTGAAGCAGGGAGAAAGATGGGAGAGGAGACACAAGATCAGGTAGTTTTCTTGAACAGACACTCTTGAAAGGAAAATTACGTGATAGCTTTTTCAAGCAAACTTGATAACAGATGAATTATGATACCCTTTGGCTTTTGCTGTAGAGTGGGATAAACGCGTCTGAAACAGTGGCTCAGAAAGAAGCTGCAACAGAAGATATATGCATATAAGGTACGTACGTATCAGTCTTCTCCAAATAACCAACCCCAACAGAAAGTTCAAATTGACTAACAAGAGTTGTTGTTTCTTGTCTGGTGATGCAGAAACTCTACGAATCCTTTTGGGGTTTGGTTTATAGAGAAGATAAGGGTATGTAAATGGATTTGAAAACTCGATCTCTGGATGTGAGATAATTCATAGTCAGTTTTAATATTTTTTCAGATTTGAGAGTGAGTGTAGTAGTGTTGGTTAGGTAAGGTAGGTAGGGAAGAATCGTTGGGTTTTCTAGTGTGTTGCAGTGTGTGTATTTGAGAATATATGATTTGTGAGGGATTTCAAGACTAAAAGCTGAAATCATTATCGTGTTTTATTGTTTCTTCGACTTTTTAGCTCATTGGTCAAGTGTCAACGGCTCTTGTCAGTCTGTTCTGTTATGCCATACAGTTATACGCTATTCCCACATTATGTAGGTTTCTTTCTAGCCCAGCCCACAAAACTTAAAAGATTAAAATAAAATAATATTTAAATGTCAGATTAAAATAAAATAATATTTAAATGTCAATTTGGTTTTTTTTTTTTAAGGGAATCACGAGATTTTAGAATTAAGTCGCCAATTAAATTTAGATGGTGAATAATCCTTTTTTATTTTTTGGTAGGAGGTGAATAATCCTTTTTACAGCCCATCTTTGTACCTTATTAGACAGAAAATAGGTTTAATTTGATGTCCAAAAAAAACAGAATTAATCAATCTAGGGTAAAAAAAAAATAGAGAGAGGCTGCTGACATCAGCGACTCAAAGACAGAGTCAAAAGATTGAAGAAGATGAGCACAGTTTTTTCTTACTCACGAAATATTTTGTTGAGTCATGGAGAGAAGCGCCGTTGCCTCAGGTTTTCATCAAAATGACATCCTCTACCCTTCACGCGCCGCCACTTCCACCACGCGCCTCCACTCTTTCTCCTCCCTCAGAAACTTTCCGTCTTCCTCTCTCAGGGTAATTTTTTTTAATAAAAAATCAATTCTTCGGAAAACTTATGTTCTTTTTATGTATATCCCTTGATTCGAATATTCTGATTCTTTTGTAGATTCGCCAGTCTCCTTCTCCCGTCTCTTCCAATTTGATCATTAGCTGTGAAATTTCACGTAACCGATGCGACGCCGTTTCTTCCAGGTTTGACTTGTTCGAGCTCAATGGAACAAACATAATCACTTTTAGTTTACTTGAATTCGTACTTGTTTCGTGTTTACATTTTCAAATTTTGTTACTTTTGGGTGCAGCAGCACCCATGTGACTGAATTAGCCGAAATTGATTGGGACAAGATTGATTTTGGGCTAAAACCAACGGATTACATGTACGCCATGAAATGTAGCCGTGATGGTGAATTCTCTCAAGGTCAATTGCAACCTTTTGGTAACATTGAAATCAACCCATCAGCTGCTGTACTCAACTATGGTCAAGTAAGCCATCATCACCTTTTTATAACTTATGGGTTTGACAAGTACAAGTTCTGATGCTATATTATGGAGTATAGTTCTTCTGATGCCTTGTTCTTGTGTCTTTAGGCTTTGTTTGAAGGACTAAAAGCTTACAGAAAACAAGACGGTAACATTCTCCTCTTCCGTCCTGAGGAGAATGCCATCCGAATGAGAAATGGCGCTGAAAGAATGTGCATGCCTTCTCCAACCGTCCAACAGTTTGTTGAGGCTGTGACAACTACTGTATTAGCAAACCAACGCTGGGTAATTGGAAAACGCTTTTGAATTTCTTGTTTCTTTCATGTGTTGTGTGTGATCGTCTTTCTTTCTTTCTTTGTTTATTACAGATTCCACCTCCAGGTAAAGGTTCATTATACATAAGGCCATTGCTTATGGGAACTGGAGCTGTTCTTGGTCTTGCTCCTGCTCCTGAATACACTTTCCTCATCTTTGTTTCACCCGTCGGGAACTACTTCAAGGTGTTCGTTGGTCTGATGCGATTTTCTATATTCATCATTTCGTTTTCTGAGTCTGACACTCTTTTACAGGAAGGTGTTGCGCCGATCAACTTAATTGTTGAAAATGAATTCCATCGTGCAACTCCTGGCGGTACTGGAGGTGTTAAAACCATCGGTAATTATGCTGCAGTAAGTACAAAGCTGAAAGTTTTGCAAAATTTATTTTCCTCTGTTCTCAATAGCCTAATGAATCAAATCAATAATTTTAGGTCTTGAAAGCACAGTCGATTGCGAAAGCTAAAGGGTATTCTGATGTTTTATACCTTGATTGCGTTCATAAAAGATATCTCGAGGAGGTTTCATCGTGTAATATTTTCATTGTGAAGGTAAATCAAAGATCATCTTTTGTTGGAACTTCTAAAGTTTCTTGCTGGAAATGAAACTCTTTGTTTACTTACTCGTATTGGGCTCTTCTTGTACAGGATAATGTGATATCTACTCCTGAAATTAAAGGAACCATCTTGCCTGGAATAACCCGGAAGAGTATAATCGAAGTGGCTCGTAGCCAAGGTTTCAAGGTAAAATCCAAATCCCTTCTTCAAATATTTGGCAACATTCATGATCAAGTAGGTCAGAAAACACAGGAACTTGTGCTATGGACTGCAAATAGCTCAGGGTTTTGTCAGTTTAACAAAAATATTCGATTGAAGAGAGTCCTAATTCTGATTTTCAGGTGGAGGAACGAAATGTGACCGTTGATGAATTGGTAGAAGCGGACGAGGTTTTCTGCACAGGAACCGCCGTTGTTTTATCTCCGGTTGGAAGCATTACTTACAAAAGCCAAAGGTATAAAACCTTTTTCTTTCCCCATTTAGTTAAAGCTAATGAAGCACAAAATTTAAACTAAGAATCGTTCCCGACAAATCTCATAGGTTTTCCTATGGAGAAGATGGCTTTGGAACAGTCTCGAAACAACTCTACACTTCCTTAACGAGCCTGCAAATGGGTCTGAGCGAAGATAACATGAACTGGACTGTTCAATTGAGTTAAACCAGCCAAGAACATATTATACATATGGATTTATGAGTAGATACAGAAGAAATTAGAATTTCTTAGAATTTCATGCTTCTGATGCTTCAATAATCTTTTGTCTTCAAAATAAATAAAACGGGGAAAAAGCCAGTTCTAGCACAAACTACCAAAAACCTCTAATCAGATTTGAGTTCAGAATCTAGTCAGACTATAGTGTGTGTAAGTATAGTTCTCTCTTTATCACATCTTTGGTATTGTTTTGTGAATGAAATTTGTTAAGTGCTAGCATCAGAAAGCAATGGCGAAGAATTGGAAACATATATATTGCGTGTGAAATGAGAGAAAGAACTCGGCACTGATTTGTGGCTTTTTATTTGCTTAATGAGTGACAGCTTCTTCTACATGCAACTTGACGTGTACTTATTTTATTTATACAGATAATCATATACTAATTATTATTTGGTTACCCAAAATCTACTCTAAAAACCCCACTATCTTTGTTTTTGGACCGACACATTTCCCTCCTATCCTCGTTCAAATCCTTATAATTACTCTGTTCTGAAAATAATCGCCAAACAATCCAATCCAATTGTGTTTCCGATTTTTTCCGATATTTTTTTTTAAAAATATGCTCTCTATAATACTATAATTGAGAGGATCTTATTAAAACTCATTAAGCTTCTAGCGACAAGAGGAGACGTGGAGCTTTTTGTAAAAAGATGTCATGATTATCTCATGATTACGATATAATAAACATGTTTTATGTTAAACTATTGTAAAGGATAGTGTACATTTGTCACGAGAGTCATATCATGAACTCACCTTTTTTCTTTTTTTTTGATCTTTAGAATACTTCCAAAAAGAAAAAGTAAATGGATTCTAAAAAAGTATGAGAAAAATATAGAATCATAGAAGAGAGCATAGATGCCTTGAGATGCATATTACAATGACCTTCCTCTTCGCTGCCTTTTACCTTTTGACTTACTATTCTTTTTCTCCCTTTTACACTAATTTTTTGTTCTTTTAAGTTGTTTGTTTATGAATAATTGATTTTTAGTCAATCATATGTGTCTTTTCATCTAAAAGATTTTACAAACTGATTTCATTCACAAAATGATACATGATTCAAATTTGAATCCATATGATTTTATCTCCTTTGGTTAGTATAATTGATATTGTTTTTTTTAAAACATGATTTTATTGATATCAAGAAATAAAAGTTCTTTACTGAGAAAAAAAAAACGACTGTACTAATTAACGTAAATGCATGGTAAATAGGCAATAACATTATAATAAGCTCAATAATACAAACTTTATAAGAGTTTATTAAAAAGAAATGAAAAAGAAGGGATGGCCTACGATGCAAGACCAATTCCTGTTTCCTACTAGTGTTGTTGAAATCTGAATACACTTTTTTCATGTTGATTAGTGATTACCCTTAGCTTCAAAGTTCAAATTAACTTTAAACTAACTTTTCCATAAATAAAGATATTTTCTTCATGACGATACATATTTTATTCTACAAAAACATATAAACAGTGAATTATACATCAATAATTTGAAGACTTTATATTTTTCCAAGTGCTTTGACTTTTAACCCTTTATAACCATCACAAGACAAGTCAACCTTTATTTCCCTCTAGAAGCCTTTGGCTAATTTATTAAACTTGAAAACGAACCAATTAAAAGTTACAATTCACAATTATTTGTTTATGATTTTTCACTATTATTAATAGGCTATTTCGCATGTATATTCAATCGTATTTCACTTGTTTTGCAAGGAACTAAATTATAGTAAACAATACACCCAAATTGACCAACTTATCTTACACAAAAGATTAAGAGAATACGTTTATACAAGAAGGTCCAAAAATTGTGACGCCATTTAATAAGAGGTATAGTGGGTTTTCTTGTTCCTTAATCTCAGCTGCCGTGGAAAATAAGTGTTAGTAGCAAATTTATTGAATTAAATTATAATTGTTAGATTTATAACATCCCTATCAAATCTTTGATTAAAATTTGATTTCGGGTCCACGGGACAGGCGTCATTAGGTTCAATTTTAAATACTGCATGATTATTAAGTGGCTACATTTATAAATGAATTTAACAAACCCATCTATCAACTCAGTATTGTCACCGTGAGTTTGAAACTTTGTCATTTTATAAGTTATAATCCGTTATATTTTATCACAAATTTTTTCTTAAGGAGATTAATAATAGATTAAATCGTACCTGATCCCAAAAATTTTTAATATACATAAAATTGTTAGTGGTAAATTTTCTCCGAGGGTTGGCAAAATTTTGTTCACCAACCATAACGGAATTTACTCTCACAGATTTTCAATATCTCTACCTTTCTTTTCATCTCTTTTGGTACATATCATTAACTCCTTTCCTTTTCAAAAGACAAATGTATATTAAATAGCAAGTGATTCAGCATCCACCAAATGTGATCTTATGATTAGTGATATCTCTCTTTAGACAATTTAATTGCTGGATTTGAAAAATTATCTTTGATATAGTATATATGAATAAGTTTCTTTGGATTTATATCGAAGAACGTTTAGTTCAATCACCGAATAGTTAAGGACGTTAACTATTCGAATACGATGCTACTCTTTTGTTGAATTCATGCGCTTGTTTTGATCTTTGATTTTTAAAAAGTTTACAAGTTCAAGAATATGTTTTTTATTTATTTAATTGGTATAACAAAGAAGATGGTCTAATTACGATGATAAAACTTCTATATAATTACGATGATACATAAAATATCGACGTTTTCATGTTCTTATTTAACTATATTGATCATGCACAATAAGAATTTGTTTATATAAAAATAAATTAGAATTTTTCTTAGTTAATTCACACATATCCATCACCAAACATTCGAAGTATTTGTCTCTATCTCGACAACATATAATACACTCCTTTGTACTGTACTACAAAATAAATTACTAAACAATATTGACTCTATAATGTATACAATACAAGTCTAATTCAATCACTATTGGTTTAAATTGGAAAAATATTGAATTCTTCTATCATTCTTGATGACCCAGTCTATATCACATGTAATAAAAGTACACATAATCGGTCTTTCTTTTCGTAAGCTGCCATGCAAGTGGGGCTGCAAGCTTTCGTAAAATCTCATGTAAAAACTATATAGACACACATGTTAATATTCATAAATCTATATGTCGTTCCATTATTATCGAATTTAAAGTATTTTGCATGTTATTTAGATTATATTAGAAATGTCGTTTTCTTAATCACACTCCTAAACTGCGGATCAGATATAATCACCAAGATTAAATAATATAAAAATATAATCCACTACTTGCCAGGACATGAATCATGAGGAAAGTTCTATAGCGTGTACTATCATACAATAAATCATATTTATGCGTATACATTTACTAGAAGTCTAGAACCATAGGCTGGAGGAAAAGAGATAAAAAGAAATGACTGGAAATAAAATGTGATTACACAACGATCAATTTATATATGTTATACATTTCCGGGTCTAATATGTCTATTTTAGACAAATCTCAAAAGTGGTAAATTTAGAATTAGATGCAAATCATGCAGCTATATTATGATATATATTTAGATATGGACGGATCGTTCAGAATAAAACGAAAAATTAAATTTTATTTTAATGGAGCTAACCACTATCTATCGATATATCTAGATAGATACTTATTTTATTTCTAATATGACCATCTTGATCTTTTAACTTAAAACTCGTTCATATTCATTAAATTCCTATATATTTTTTTTTAAATATAGCATCCCTAATGGAATGTAACTTTTTTATTTAATTTGAAGTTAGATGAGCATAGCCTAAAAGATTAGAGGGGAAAAATTAATTACAAAAAAATGGATAATAGACTAGAGAGGATGAGGGAAAGAGTCAAAGAGTGGCGGGCGGCTAAGAAAACATTATAAGTTAATAACTTATGAGTTTTATGATTAGGAAAACTATAATAAAACTTCTTGTCAAAAAGTAAAATTATAAGAAAACTAAAGATATTTCTCTGTCAAATAATAAATGGTATTGAATCTCTAGATTCCGATGTAGGAGCAAGACAAAGGAGAAAAACATTAGTCTCCCCCTTCTCTGTCATTTCTTAACTCTACTAATATTTTATCACATAATTTATCATCCAATTTTCCAATTCCATAAAGTCACTTTTTGATTCATATTTATTTTAATTCCCTACTTTTGACATCTTCCATCACATGAAGGACTATCTCCTCCAGCTATTATATACTCTCTTCCCTTTATTTTTCTCCATTCACATATAATTTTCACCTTTACATATTCTATGTATGTATATATAAACCTCTCACACACGCACCATCATATATCATCCTCCTCCTTCTCTTTATCATCATTATAATTGAGAGAGAAAGAGAGAAGAGAAAGAGATATATATACAATAAGACCAAGATCAGGAATCAAGAAGGTTATCAGAAAAAAGATCAAGAATCAAGAAGATGGGAAGAGCACCGTGTTGTGATAAGGCCAACGTGAAGAAAGGGCCTTGGTCGCCTGAAGAAGACGCCAAACTCAAAGATTACATCGAGAATAGTGGCACAGGAGGCAATTGGATCGCTTTGCCTCAAAAGATTGGTATATACTTAAAACTCACTTTTGATTTAAAATTCGCACCGAGTTTCCAAGACGAGCGTGTATAATGTGTGTTTATATTTATATATACATGGTATAGGTTTAAGGAGATGTGGAAAGAGTTGCAGGCTTAGGTGGCTCAACTATTTGAGACCAAACATTAAACATGGTGGCTTCTCCGAGGAAGAAGACAACATCATTTGTAACCTTTATGTTACAATTGGTAGCAGGTACTATACTTACATATATCATATGCATGGAGGAATATTATTAATTGACACACTTATATATTCTTGACTTAGAGACTCACTACTATGTATCTTTGTTTAATTCTAGGTGGTCTATAATTGCTGCACAATTGCCGGGAAGAACGGACAACGATATCAAAAACTATTGGAACACGAGGCTGAAGAAGAAGCTTCTGAACAAACAAAGGAAAGAGTTCCAAGAAGCGCGAATGAAGCAAGAGATGGTGATGATGAAAAGACAACAACAAGGACAAGGACAAGGTCAAGGTAATGGTAGTACGGATCTTTATCTTAACAACATGTTTGGATCATCACCGTGGCCATTACTACCACAGCTTCCTCCTCCTCATCATCAAATACCTCTTGTGATGATGGAACCAACAAGCTGTAACTACTATCAAAC